TAAGTGGCTGGGAACCCCGTCGATGTCAAATATCAGGATACTGGTGAGGGTGCTAGACTGGTACTGTTGTTGTCTCTGATGTCTTTATAATTTCCTTTGTTTGTTTGTTTTTAATCTTTTAAACTGTTGAGATTGATCTGCATTGCTGTGCCAATTTGTCACTCTAAAGCACATATTAGGAATTTAAAGGCACTATGGCTTGTACAGTTTTGAAATGTGGTGACCAAAGGCAAAAAGAGCTTATTCAGTTTAAACTGTATATACAGTTTATAGTGAGATGAAAAAATGGGTCATAAGAAGAAGAAGAAGATGAAGAAGAATGTGAAACTTTTTAATTATTCCAAAATAATGTATTGAAATATTATGTATAAATATAATATTAATAATACAGCATTGTACCTTGAGATCAAGCTAATAAAAAGGGGAATTATTTATTATTTCGTCTGGTACCTGTAAGTCTAAAGTCTTCAAGTGACAATTATTATTATTGTTGTTATTATTATTATTAATGAAAAGACAGAAACGTTTTGTACCCATGTGCATTCCTGGATGTTGCACAAGGCATAGCCGTAATTGGCCCAGCATATTGATTCAGGACATTGATTAATATTCTTATGGACTGGTAATTGCTTCTAGCAAATACAGCTAGGCAGTCTCCAGCATCGAACCTGAATCTGTGGTTTTAAAAGGCTGGCTGGCGCTTATTGGCTCAATCAATAAAGCCCGCATCAATCGACACTCTGCTCACTGTGTGTTGTGTGGGTTCGGCTTTCTCTTATGGCATTTTGTATATGTCCTGTAAAAAAAACCACGCATGTTTTATGTCCATTGTCATATGCCTAAATAAATTAAACGTAGATCTCTAATCCAAGTCATTCACCATCTCGCTCACATTTACTTTGCCCTGGAGAATGATTCATTAGTAGAATTGTCAGAATGACTTTGCTTTTATTTTGCAAATTCACTTTCACGACTCTTTAGCACGTTTCCACTCGACCCTGAATGGTCCTTGTGATAGCCACCATAGAGCCGCTAATAGTTCCCTTTGTCACTTCAGTTGTCCCCCTAAATGCATTTATTCAGCAATTTGCTTTTGAATGTTATGTAGCAGAAACTCCTGAAGTAAAAGTTTAACACAGCAGCCTCACTGCTGGTCGTGAACAAGCCACACAGACTGATAGCGCATACTTAAATATAGCCTGGCGTCTGAAGGCCTTCCAACAGAAAGTGCACCGGAGAAAATGGCTCCAGACTCCTGGCTCATGAACATTCATTGTCATTTAGCAAGATGCAGCCATCCCAAACCTAAAAGGTTAACATTTAGTGTTTTACTTTTTATAAACATCAAAAAGAACCCATATTAATCTGCGCCCACAGGCTAGTTCATTGGATACTATTAAAGAGAAAAATACATCAGTTGCGCATTAACCAGTATTCCCTTTAAATATCCTCAACTAAATCTTATCCTATGCACGTTTTATTTTTGTGGGAATCGATTTTAATTTTGTATTTTTCACGTCTGGCAGAGAATTCCTTCTGCATCCTATAGTGAAGCAGAAAATATATTTTCTGTATTTCTTTTCTTAAATTAACATGAACTTGTTGGATGTCTCCCGGATGATAATAATAATTTACAAACCCCTCTCCCTAACCTTTTATGATTTTCTACTGCTTCATTACAGTGTCTCATAATATCGCTAATAAAACAATTATGACGAAGGCGAGGGACACCCTGTGCTAAAGAAAGACCAAGGCAGGATAAGTCAAGGGGAAGAGTTTGGAGAGCAACGTGCCAAATGCAAACAGGCACAGGAAAGGTCCTGTAGACGTGTTATGCCACCCACTTTAGGAAAAATGTTAATTAAAATTAAAAACATAAACACGTGCGCTTCAGAGGTTCTGGTTGTGCGTAATCACTCCATGAAATACACCTCCATAAATAGAAAAAAACACATACAGAGCTTGTAGAGAACACTGAGCTGCTACTATAAAAGCCCAGTTGTCTTTTAGTGTAGACAGAAAGTTATTCCAGGTGAGAATTATTCAACTGGAAGTCATCATAAAACGTTTTCACTTTCCAGTGCAAGCAGAAAGGGCTTAACAGCCACAGTCATAATAAATACGCATAAAACTTTTCCACTAAACACAAGTGCACATAAAATGCGTGGTAACTTTTAAAAACCCAAACTCCCTCTAATTTTTTCCTGATAAGAAACAATAATCTCCTTTAGCCAAATCAAAGGCACTACAATGCGTATGCAGCAGGGACGCAATAAAACAATAAGCTCAGACAAACAGCGTCTCGGTCTAATGGTCGTTGCCTGTCCTGAATATCATTAGGCTATGATGGCTGAGCTCATACCTTTTTTTTCCAGGGCTTCCTCCCTCCATCACAAGCAATTTACACCAAACAGTAACCAAACCGCCTGTGCCACAGAGCGACTGTCATCGGCGCAATTTGTCTCCTGTGCACAGTGATAGCAGCTCTAAGTTCAACAGACAAAGTCTTACATCCAGTGAGGCCACCGCATACCCGGACCTCACCAGTACTGTAACTATCGACTTGTCATTTTGGCTAAAACATAATTTCCATTGTCTAGTGAGAAGAGAAAATAACTGAAGTGCAATTAGAGGCCAATTAACACATAAAACACATTGGAAAATTCAAACTTGAAAAACAAAAACAAAAATGTAAAAAGATAGTCATTTATGAAACAGAATTTGCAAAAGTGAAGGAGTTGGGTTTAACTATTGTATTAAGAAGGGGGTGTGAACATAAAAGACCGACCAAAAAGAGGCTGAAAAAAGAAAGGAAAACATCACTTCATTAAGAGACTTTTTCTCGAGCTATGTGACCTCGGGACCCCGGGGGACGCGCGATGGGGCCGGGGAAAGTTCCCCAGCCACGCCGTATGTTTCTTCCTAAGTCACCATAAACCCAGACATCCCAGAAAGAAGCTCCAGTGGCGGGCCATAAATCATCGAGCTGGACTTAAAAGCTGACGTTAACCCCCCGTCAGATCAGCTTTGGGATCACTTATGAAGGGAATAGATCGTTTTAACTAAATGCATCAACTTCAAGTCTACGTGCGCAGCCAACTCGCTACTATAGTCAAGAAACCCCGATGCCCTCTCTCGCTCTGTGTGTGTGTGTGTGTGTGTGTGTGTGGCTCACTCTGTCTGTCTGTCTGTCTGTCTACCTCTGGAGCCCCGGCTTCTGTACAACAAGGATCCACTCATCCATTCAAGCCATATGGTTTAAGTCAGTGGTTCCCAACTGGGGTCCAGTGACCACTGGGGTCACTGAGAGGGGTCCAGGGGTGTATGCCAAGCAAAACAAAAACTAACTTACGATAATAACATTGGAGAAGCTGATATCAGAAAACTGGAATGTCAGACATATCCATTCATTAGTTCAAAATTGTATGTGTCCAAAGTAGTTTGATTGATGGTTCTTAATAAGATCGTTGTTCTAATGAGTAACTTCTGGACTGGAACTCTTACCTTAACTTCTCCTCTCTGTTATCAAAGCGCGCAATAAAAGAACAGCCCTTATCACATAGGTTTTACACCATTTCAGTACCCCCAATATCTGTGTATGCTTTGTCCCTGGCCCTGAAAGAGGAAGCGGTACTGTGGAAGGCAATTTATTCAGAATGGTGATTTCATGTAGACGTCAGGAAGCAGCGTGATCTTTTCTCAGCAGCCATTGCAACAGGCCTACGGATGTTTTCTGGAAATAGAGTCAAAGCACCAGAGAGTGAGCTAGGAAACTGCAGGCATAGTGTTGTACCAGACTGCAAAGCTAACTCTTCATTTTAAATGATTTCGTTTAGTAAAGCATGTTCAATAATTAAGACAAGCCTCAGTTGGTGTTAAATAAATTAATATTTCCTGTACATGAAAGGTTTTCTGCTTTTGTCGTTTGGGCGTTGTATGTGGACGTTATGTTTGACTGAGAAGAAAAAAAAGTTGAAAGAAATAAGGTTGATTGGGAAGAAAAACCCTAAGACACTGTGCTGAAAAGTCGACAATGAAGCAGAGAGAGAAAAGTGTTTACTGAGCCAGTGGCCCACTGTCCTACTTTCCTACTGGCACCACAAGCCAACCGGGAGCCTCGTCTGGGCTCCAGCTTTATATTTCATGCTTTAGGCCCCTTTCAACCTTATTTCCTATTCACAATCCGCAAACAGAGCAGATTGAGACATATTAAAATGTAGGTAAAAAAGTAACATAATCACACTATACCGCCCGCAAAAGGTGGGAGCTAGTTTCCCATCGATTTTACGCATGACAAACACCAGCACTCAGCTAAAAACAGATGCATTTGATATGAAAGCAACAGTTACAAAGTATAATAAATAATAAAGTTAAACCACATTAATAAAAACATTACAGATAGAAATGAATGACAGTTCGTTGGGACTGATTTAGGCTACTAAAAATATAATTTTTTGAATAAATGTATTGAAAAGCATACAGCTATCCCAAATTAACTGCGAATCAAAATGAGACTATCAGATATTTCCAAGCGCATACTAAGGACCTAAACTGACTGCACATGTCAAAAGGTCACACGCGACGCCCCGATGAGATACAGTGGGTAGCTAATTTCCTTAAAGTGACGAAGAAAGTACTAGCAGCTGGCAGTAGCTGATGATGCAAAAAGAAATACACAAGTAGCATTGAAATGGATGAGCTTTCGTTGGCGCGCTTAACAATCGTGTATTGAAACCTGCGCCGGCCAGAGCGCTCGGCCGCGTAACGCAAACAATGCCATTAACGATCCCTTAAAGCCCACCAGATGGCCACTTTGGATGAAATGTTAGTTTTAATTTGGGGATGGACGTAAATGAGGACTCTGGATGTAAAGGAGCCTCACCAGCTGCAGTGCCCATATTCTGCGAGGCACGGGTGCTGGCTCGCTTGGTAGGGAGGAATAATACGCTTTAGGCAGCCTGCAACGCACCATAGCACTGTGTGAAGACGACAATTCTTACCTTCAACGGCAGACACCACAGGCAGCAAGAGGCTGCATAAAAGCAGAAAGTAATCCATTGTCATAAAGTGGTCAGGTCGGACATGTAAATAGACCCACGAGAGAGAGAGTGAAGAGGGAATACAATCCTGGATGATCCGACTGTCCACGCACCCAGTCCCGTCCCAGTGCTTGTCCCAGTCCCAGATGCGTCAAGTCTCCAGAGCCAGTGTTAGCCACGTTCACCAAAAACAGGTGAAGGTGAGAGATGAGAGGAAATAACACCCCGGGTATAAAATGTGTCAATATTGCAGCCCTTCAGTGATTTCCAACGTGCCTCGTTAAACCAGAGAAAACGCACCCGGTTCAAGTCTTCCAGTCCTCACGCACATTGAGCGAATCGGCTGGAAACAGGTAGTCCACTGCGCGGTCACCATCCGGAGAATATTTCCCAGCAAAATACTTGTTAACAGTCAGGGAGAGGAATCAGTAACAGCCTTCTCGAGCACATCCAGAGAGTTTCCTCTTTTTTCCTGTGGTCAGAGGAGCAAAGGCAAAGAGAGCAGCGCCGGTGTCACAACCATGGTGTACAGTCCCAGCTTGACATGTGCACGCTCACATGCGCCCAACGATCAACGTGTTATTCCCATATAGAAACAGCCGCGAGGTTTAAAGATGTTTATTCCCTGAGCGAATTCATCGGCTTTGGCTGCTGTGTGAACCGTCTGCTTCGCTCGGCTTGTGCACTGGAATGAAGCACACGGCTGCGGAGTAAGGAGGGAGAGAGGGGGGGGAGAGAGAGAGACCAGGGGGCATGAGGAGGAGGGGTTATGATGCAAGCAGTTGCTCTGAAAAAGAAAAAGAAGTCTATCTATCGTGGCAGTTATACGAGCCCCACATTTCTAATCAAAATCCATTTTGTTTAAAACAGGGGTGGGTCATTTTTAAAGGCAGTCTTTGTTTCACCTATCCGCACAATTATGGCAACATCCCGGATGATCTTCTCTTCCAGACACTTGAAACAACACATGGCTGTGACAAAAATAGAATCATTTCATAGTCTTGATTATGAACTCGATCTCCAGATCTGATTCTTTCAAACCTTCGAAAGCTTTAGATGAACGGCTTAACTGTTAAGTTTGTCCTTTTGTACACATTTTGTATTATTTGCAGCGTATTTGTATTTGAATAAATAAATAAATAAATAAATAAGCCTGCACTCTGCCTTTCCAGTCTTTGGGACTACCATACATGGCGTGGACGCACAGCGCCCCCCTGCGGGTTGCTCTGTTTCCATCTAAATGAGACGGAGTTTTTGCTTTGATTAAAACTGTTTTTATCTCCATGTAGAGCTCTGAAACACTCAGAAGCTCAGGTGGACACTCGTGGACGCGTTTCCCCGAATCTACCTCTCTCTCTTTGAGACTTTCTGCCAGTATAAAATGTGACATTATCACATTCCATGCGTTGATGTTGCAGACTTCGTTTCTGAAATTATAAAATGCAATTTTAAGACCACACCTGGAATATTGTAATTATTATACATCACGGTTTCCACTAATTTCGATTTAAGCATCCATGGCATCAACGTTCCTGTTAAAGTAGAAGATAAACTCTGCGGGAACCGACGCTTCTAAAGCAGAACCAATAGGTATTCATGTGTTTAGATGAATTCAATCGGCAGAGCAACAGACAGCAGGCGGTGGGTCTTTTTCCTGCAGTACTATAAACCCGCAATTTACTTTTCCTCCTCCTGAAGAAGGGGCATCTGTCACGACCCGGCTTTTACAGCCTTCCTCCCCAGTCTCTCTGCCTTTACGGCCGTTTTATTGTGTCAGTAAGTGCTTCAGTCTCTTCTCAACACAGCAGTAAACAAAGATAAGGGATGTCACAAGAGTTACGCATTTTAATCCAAACGCAACAATTAATATAAATTACGTTTTATTTACAGGCAAATGTACTATAGTTTCATGCACGGTTTCATTTTAGGGCACATTACAGTGGTTTAAATTCAAAGGAAATAAGCATTTGGTCACTGACATAAAACCCTGTGATCTGTGGGAGAGTTACAAGACTAAATCGGAGCCTACAGTAACTCAGCACACAGGTCCAGCACATCCAGTTGTTTAGGATATATTGCAATATTATTGACATTTACTGCTTCAGTGTCATATTTTGTACAATTATGTTGTGCACAGCAACAATATTTAACTTGCATATTTGATAAGGTCAGGAATATTTGGCGCGGTTCTACTTTGGTACATTCAGCCCTGACATTATAGCAGAAGTCGACCACATTACTATGTTGAATATTGGTAGGTTATCTACTGCGGCTGGAGAAAGAAGAGGAGAGATGAACATTTATTCAAATAAGGTTTTCCTTAATAAAGGTGGAATTTGCAGTGTTGCTGATAACTTCTATATAACTTCGTTCTATATGCGAAGAACAGCGATTATGTTCATGATACAGAATCAGTGCCTGTTCCTCTGGTGTGTAAAGAAACGTTGTGGGTGTGTTATGAGGAAATGTCGAAGTGCAGCCAAATGGCCGGTCTGTTAGTTTAAACCTGATCGGTGATTGGATGCCATTTCCTGAGAGGTGCACACGCACGCACACACACACACACACATACGCACACACGCACACAGATAGACCCAGGAGGTCTGTTCTCTGTCTCTGTGTTATGTGTTGGCTTTGCCACTGTCACAGAGGTGGCTGGTAATAAAAAAGTTTAAAGAGTTAATACTCCACCATTTGGGAAATTTGTGCTGTTTAATAACTTTATTTTGTTTATTCCCAAAAGAATCAAAGGCTTTAGTGTTATTGTAATTAGCTAATTACTTTAAAATACCTTCTTTTGTCCTAACCTACATTTGTACTTAAAAAAAAAGTTTAGCTGTAAAACACATAAGAGGAGACAATTGTTGACTTTCATGGAGTTGAAATATTGTCAGTAATCACATTTTTTACAGAACAAATGGAGATGACAACACTGTACACCAGTGCCTAATGGTTTCCCACTTAATTCTTTTTTTTTTTTAAGTAAAAACATCCAGCTCATAATATTACAACATAATTCAAACAGGGTTTTTACTTTAGAAAATGTTACTATGGTGTGAGTTTTCAGGGTGTTAGGACCGCACTGAAATATTCCAAAGCTTCTAAATCTGAATCTAAATCTAAACTTTTTGTTTAGGGACTGGGAGCAAACACTTGGATGCAAATGAAAAACTCATGTAGAGGTTTACAGGCAACTTTTCACTTTGCATTTCTTCATATTATATCTAACCCATACCTTTATAGTTATGATATTAATTTTTTTAGAATGACTAAAAAGTTGATAAAAAGGAAATGTTTGTAGTTAAGTTCTTATTGTGAATAGAGATCATATAACAGACCAAAATAAATCACAATTCTAAATGAAAAAAAATTGAAACGTAACCTCTGCTGTTAGTCTAAACAATGTCTTTTTAACAATTCCTTCAAACAAATGTTTGAAGGAATTGTCTGTTTTGCCCTTGTGAATATTATTGCTGGCGTTCGGTGACATAGCAGCTCAGCATGTGGGATAACAGCCTTCAGAAGCCTGGAAATATTAGATCAACAGGATCCAAGGCATCATTTTCACAAAAAATTGCAATTTAAAAATCATCTTTGTCATTGTCAAAAATGTTTCTCATTTGTTTTCAATATATTTTGTATGGTGATTTTTTTTTTTAAATCATTTTAGCCTCAATGTTTTAGAAACTACTTAGAAACTACAAGGAGCATTTAATGGTGCCTCAAACTTAGTCAAGAAACTTTGGGGGAGTAGGTGTCACTGACACAAAATCTGGCAGATTCCCCACATGAATTCCTCACAATATACCTCACAGTGACATAGTCTCTTTGAAAGGAAAATTGTGTTTTAAGTGAAGCAATATGGGTAAGGAAATCTGTGGTGCCTTCAAAGAAGACTGTTTTGTTTGTTGCCAAAACCACTGAAGCCCTGGCTCTCCTGTCTGGTTGCCATTAAAGAGCAACCAGAAGCACACTGAGCTCTCCACTGTCACCTCTGTCACTTCTATATGCTTCTGACCGCTCCTAAAAAGAAATTAGGTACAAACAAACTTTAAGAAAAACTTAAAACGTTGCTTAAAAAGTGCAAATAATGAGAACTTTGAAAAATGTTTTTGTGGTTCTACAGATTCTGGTTAGGTGTCTACTCCACCTTTGAAGGTTTCTTTATGATAAACAAAAGCTTACCAGGGTTAGGTCTGTGAGAATTCTTGAAGCCCTAACTGTTTGCCAGAGTAAAAAATAAGTGTGAAAACCATAAATGTGGGCTTGGTATGAACCAGAACACAGGGAGTGTAAACGTTTTCCATGGACTGAAATGTCTACATTAATAAATCAATAAGTGAACTTTACAGCTATGGTTTGGTTTTTATAGAGCTTATGGACCTAGTTTATTTTTCTGTCCTTTGTAGCGTGTGTTGTTTTGGTATGGTTTTAGGGTTGAGTGTTTTCTTTTCTGTGAATGGCAGCAGTAAAACTGTATACACACCCCATAATGACTGTAACAGGGCAAAATTAGAGTTGAAAACACCCATGGCACACACAGAAAGCTTACTCCTTGAGCTGTTGCATTGACATTTTTATTCCCTCTGGAGGCTTGCTCTAACCATTGCCCATAACCAAAACATGCTTGACCCTAACCAGTACCCTTATATTCAATCTATAATATAATCTCAGTGAGGAAGACATTTTGACTCTCGCTGGATCCCACTTCTCTAAAACCAAATTTAGGACACAAGTTTTGTCCTGAAGGAATCACAGATCTGGTATGAAATCTACAATATGTCCCAAATGCAACCTAAAACACTTAATCACAAACTGTATTCAGACACAGAGAAATTGTCCAGAAGTGCTCATAAAGAACATTACAGTAGAAACTCAATGAGTAAAGTGGCAGACATTTTACTGCTTTATAGTAATTTCTCCATCTTACACCAACTGCAAACCTTGACAGACCCTTACTAACCTTATCCATCTTTCCTCCCACTCCCGTGCCAGTGTGTCAGTGTCTCTACTTTCTCTCTTAAAAAACAACACATCAGCAAACACACACAACGCATAAAAACACAGAACCAAAACTTGCTGACACACATTGAACTTCTCTTTTTCCTAGTCCTCATAATAACACATACAAACATTCACCCCTGCTAGCATGCATAAAACTCTGCCAGACTTCACACACATGCACACACAAACACAAACACTGTAGCTCTTATGTACAGGTCTGGTTTAATAGAAGTATTAATGTGATGTGAGTGTGAGAGGATCACTGTGCTCTGGCAATATTGACGGAATGGTGAGCTGTTGGTGATGTTAGAGACTGTTGATATGTGACTATGTGCACAATACTGGGAGTACTGGTGGAGGAGGAGTTGGTGGTGGGTGGCTCTGGAGAATCTCAAAAGGGCTCAAAGCTGGAATCCAGGCAGAAAGGAGGTGTGTGTGTGTGTGTGTGTATATAAGGGGGGCTTGGGGATCTAGGGGTGGGGGTCTAATCCTCCAGGCCTTCACCACTGACCGAGCACTTAACACAGGACCACAAATGCAGCTCCAACTGAACACCCCCCCATAAGACCACCATCATCCGCCCTCCTCCACACACAATAGCACACACACACACACACACCCAACGCCACATCCACTGTCTTGACTCCAGTTCCAGTCCTGCCTCGGTAAATCAGCAGCTCCTCCCCAA